GGTAAGACACCAAAATTTGATATTTTTCAACTTTCTGAATCATTTAAAATATTCCAAACTTTCATTAAAATATTCAGGTAGGACAAAAAGGGGGTAGGACAACCTAGATAGACCCCTTATAAGGTCTTCAGAGTTTAAATGAGACAAAATCAGTAAAAGCCCCTTTCCGAAAATGCATCAAATCATCAAATATTCCGGACATGGGTATCGGCTAGTGTATCCATTTTTTTTTATATGAAAAATAATAAATATAATTTATACTAATATGACAGTTTGTATAATTGTTTAGATTTAGATGAAACGGGGCCATCTCATCTCTACTCGCGACCCCTGTAAAATTCAGACGAACGAGCGCTTCATTTCCTCGGTCGGCCTGGAGCCGCGTCCCTGGAGACCGCTCTTGGAGCGTGCTGGAGCCGCCTCCGCAACGCCCAGGCAGGCGTCTCCAGGATCTGCAGGAGACAAAGGAGAGGGGCTGCGCCGCAGCTAGCTGCAGCCGCAGGTGGTAGCCGGGCCAACCGCACCTGCCGACAGCTGCCCAGCTGGCTGCCAGCCGCGCATCCCCCAGCGCGAGGCAAATCAATTTGTTCTGGGACCCGCGCGCCTAGATGGGACGAATTTGACGCTCTTTCCTATAATATTTTCGTCCCATCTCTTAAAAAACAATTCCTGGGGACTGGGTTTTGGCATCTCTTTCGTATGTGTTCTTAAAAAGCTTGTCATCATCTCTTTCACGACTTCCGAGTAATTTGCACGTATTTCAGTTTTGTAAAGGCGACTAGGGATACAATATGTAGGGCACTATTGGAAACACGAGAGTGAGAGAGACAGATAGACAAAGAAGGGAGGGAGAGAGAAATAGTTTGAGAGATATGTCTTCGTGTCCCGCTAGATTTTATCCCTTGTCCTTCTCGTTCCCTGCCATCCTGTAACTTCACACTCGTTCTCTGTCCCTTTCAGAGCTCTGGTCTGCGGGCCGTGGGACGTATCTGGGGTCAAAACTCGCATCAACCACCTCTCAGGCATGGAGGAGAGGAGGAAGGGAGGGGGGAGGGGCGTGAACGCCGAACACAAGACCTCCACTCGGGTTGGCGAGCAGCGGTCGGGTCTGGACGGGATTTGTCGCCCACGTCTCAAATCGCTATGCCGCCAACGCCACACCACTGCGACACCCCACCCCACCCGGCCACACCCCACACGACACCAGGACAAACGAAGGCGAGACACCGTCTTTTTTTCAAAACGTCCGTTCCCCCCAGCCCGCCGCAGCTCACCGCCAGTTTTGCGTGGATTTTCGACGTTTTGGGGAATATTGGATGCGTCTGGAATATCACGTCTCTCTCTCTTTCCCTCTCTCTCTCTCCCTCCCTCCCTCCCTCTTCGATCCTTCTCCCACTCGCTCGCCGCTCTATTGTGTAAGACATTGGGTGACACCTGCAGCCAGGGACACACATGCGACAGGCGGCCGAGATTGAAAAAACAAAATGTACACCTTTCTTCGACCAATTTCCAGCAGGACATCTAATTTTTCATTCTTTCAACGATAAGCCTCATTTGATTTCGACAGAAGTTTAAAAACTAATCCTGTTAAAACGTTAAAACGAGGGGGAAATCACTTGGGTTCGTAGCGTACTGGCTATTTCGTGGTATTTCTCCTGCCATTTCGGTTATTCCTCCTGCCATTTCGGCTATTTCTCGCCTATTTCGGATTATTTCAGGGTATTTCGCGGTATTGCGGGGGTATTTCGCGAGTATTTCACCATTTCGCCTCTATTTCACTCTATTTCGCCTTTATTGCGCCCTTCTTTCGCAGTCATTTCGGACTATTTCGGGGGAAAGTGTACGAACTATTTCGCAAGTGATATTGCAAAAATATTTTTTTTAAATTATTTTTCTTAACATACGGTAACTAGATTTTTTTTAAATTAACGATAACTAACATTTTCTTTGACATGTTCGTGCTGTCGTCGGGTGTCGCGGATTCTAGGCGCAATACCCAAGAATGCGTTGCACTCACTTAGCGCATCTCAGCATATCGGCAACATCGAGAGGTCAGGAGCCATACCGATAACTCAAAATTTTATACTCTTTCCCCTCCTCCCGCCCGGCTATCCGCCCAGGCGCCGCCGCCACACGTAACGTTGCTGAATGGTAGTAGGTAGGTAGTACTCGCCCCCCCCCCTCCCCCGCGCGCTCGCCGCGGCGCCCGCGCAGCCTCAGTCTGGCGCGGGACAGCGCGGCGTGCGGACCGAGCGGAGTAGCGAGCCCACGAGACCGCGCCGAGCGGCCCCGTCGCGCCAAACGAGGCGGCAAAAACGAATCCGAATCCGAGTTTTTTTTTGGTTAGTTTGTACCAAAAAATAATAATTAAATTTCCGTGGTTTTTTTCTTTTCGCGCTATTCGCGGGGCCTACAACGCGAGTTTTTAGGCCAATCAGCGAGCAGCGCGTGTGAAGTGTCGTGTGTGACTGTGCGCGAGTGACAAGTGTAAGTGTGAAGTGTGTGACAAGTGCAGTGCTACTAAGTGTTGCCACAGCCCGCCAGGTGGTCCCCACGCTCGCCGGCACCCGTCAGTTTGATGAAGTGTAATTATTTAAAGCCCCTTTTGATTTGGGCACTGCCACCGCCGCCGCTGGTACCATGGCGGTGGAATCGCCTCCCTTTTGTACCTCGCGGTCCCGAAAACAAAACGTCGCAATCATTTTGAAATTAGTTTCCGAGACAAAAGACCTTCCTGGTCACTGACCTAGCAGCTAACACAGCGGAGGCACCGCGCGCTCCGCGGCGCTTTGCCAAAACGGAAGGCAACGAAGAAAAACATTTAGTTGTTTTTTTTTTTTGGGGGGGGGGGAGTTAAATAAAGACGCGCCAGAATACGCACTTGAAAATTATAAGAAGGGCCACTTGCTCGCAGCTCATCAAGGCAGTGACTAATCCCTCGCGGCGCCGTGATGGCCGAAAGAAACATTACCGAGTCATGGCTGACTGGTGTCGAAAGACGACCGCCGCTGGAGGGAATGCCCGGCTCCAGGCCGACAGGTCATGCTGGGCGCTGGCAGCCTCTCGCCCTGTCGAAACGCCTCTCTCGCCACCACCACGGTCACTTTACTCGCCAAAATCAGCCCTGATCCGACAGTTTAAACAAACTGTCATTAAAATACTTGCAAGCTCTTTTCGCCTAGCCTTTTGTGCTGTTTCATTCAATTTAGTTCAATACCATTCATTGTTTCGCCTATTTTGTTTTTAATCTTTTAAAGCCGTTTTTCGAAGCAACTGAATAGAAAGGAAAAGGTGTCGACTGATATTTGAAAGTGCGCTGTGGTTAAACTAGACTGACCATAGAGGGTCGGTGCCGCGACATACCCCCCTCCCTCCCTTCCGTCAACTCCACTCTTAACTTTGAGCGGGTGTCGGTGAGCGGGCGGCTCACCAGAGCGGCAGAGGCTCCGAGGGGCGTAAGTGGCGGCCTCGTCGCTCATCAAACGACGGTGGTGGATAATTTTCCAGAGCTGTCGTTGCGCGGGATGTGGCGCGGAGCGGAGGATCGGATAAGTGTCAGCGCATGATGGATACCTCACACACACCGCACAAGTCCTGCAAGGTGAGTCCACAGCAAAAAAATTAAAT